AACTATGTTTTTTTTACATAAATCATAATTGACAACAGTATTTACTACTTATAAACGCTTACTATTTAGACTTTATTTACAATTAAATAAACACCTTATAAGAATTTCACCTTTCAACCGTTTCATAAACAAACACTGAAAAACATGAAAATCTGACTAATAAATAAGTGGTTTAATGTATATGTACACTGATAGATTTTTCTAAGAAAAATTCAATCAAATAAATAAACAGCAACCTTAATTTAAACGAAATAAAACTAATCATGTGGAAATATATTTCTTGTGTAAACGACAAATTTTCAATAAGTTTTCCCTCTTTAACATAAACTATCAACATAACTATTAGAAGAGATGGATGGTGGCTAACAGTGGGACTCATCAGCCGGTTTTCCATGCATCCCAGAGTTGATGTTCACTCTGGAACTCGAACCAAGTACCGTTCACTTCAAGCACTATCGTGTTACTCACTTAGTTGATACGTTCAACTGTCGAGTCCTGAACTCTACTGCTAACCACCATTCACCCCTACTTGTAATGTATATAACTAAACACAATATCGAAGCTACCCGCACAGAATGTACATATGCTAATAATAGGCTGATCAATCGCAATCCTTAACATTAATGATAATAATCAAATAACCAATATAAAAACACATTATCAATATAACTGTTTTCAGTGGAGAATGCAATTATCTAAATGATAATCTAATTCTTAATCTTCTAATTCTTATATTTTCTTATCAGCTACTTGTATTAATTGCGCATTCAAATCTGACCAAAGTTCTAAAGAATATTCTCATAGTAAAAATTTAAAAAGACCAAATGTATTACGTATTCAAACGAATCAATTAAAACAACAACGTCAATCACAACGTGCTCTACGTCAAAGTATACAATTTAATTTGAAAAATATTAATTGGAGAAATCAAATAGATTTATATACATTTCGAATATTGATTTGTTTATCATTCATGATTTATTTTGTAAATACATTTATTTATTTATAATATTAAACAAGAAATAATAGTTAGTTGCTATGTGTAAATAGAAAATTTTAGTTACCTACTATTATTTTTTATTATTCTTAATTTTGGATACAGATAATTTTTTAAAAAAAACACACATACACAGTTTTACTGTCTTACATATTATTCTTCATTAAAGTGTTCAGTGAAATATGATGAATCAGTAATATTTTGACAAATAAATATAAATAATTATGTAACAGAATGATTGTTTATTTAAAGAGAGTTTTAATAATTTCATGAACGAATTTTCAAACTATAAAAATCAAAGAATACTGATTGATCACTGTTATAGAATGATACGATGTAGCCGAGTAGTCGCTACTCATGTGACTGAGGATTTCATAGATAAGGTTAATATATTCCAATATGTTATCGACAATTCCGTTTTATGTACCATTGTTTATATACTAACTTCTAAACACAATTCAATTCATAAACTTTGAACGTATAAATAAAAAGTTGACTGAATAAATTCTTAACTGAATTCTTTGTTTTTTTTTACTTCTCGTAATGTAAAGAAAATAATAAAGATTCTATAGCAGAGTCTTTTGTAAATGAAAAACAAAGTCTAGAGATTGCCTGGTCATGATTGACTTTTTAATGTAAACTGTTTAACATTCGAAACCGATATTGAGACCAAATAATTACTCACTTTTAAATGAATAAATAGTATATTTGTAATATCCCAATGAGTAGAAAAATTAGATTTTCTGACGTTTAGTGACTCAGTGTAAGCCACTTATTCAAAGAATAAATAACCAAATCAAAATTAATCCAAGTTCAAATAGTACAACACAAGAATATTATGTGATCACATATTATTGATTTGGCTATTTGTCCTCTGAAGAAGTGGCTGACACTGAGTCACGAAACGTCAGAAAACCTAATTTTTCTACTAATTGGGATATTACAAATATATTGTTTATTTACAACAATCTACTCAATGCTCAATTTATTTGAAATTATCAAATCAAACCTTGGTAATGATGCCTACAATGACTCACTTTGTCTACTGTAATGAAATAAATGACAGATGAGAATAAAAGATCAAAATAACAGATGAATAGACCAACTTAACAAAGAATTATAAATGAAGCAAAAACGAAATTTGATTAGAATGACAATTAAAATCTAAAAATCCTGTGAAATAAGTTTGCAGTATTAATGAAAAAAACTTTATTCCTTATAATTTTATTATAATCCTTGACTGGATGAAAATGGTCTATCGTATATAGTACAGTCATTCAGTCCTATTGTAAAACTGTATGAAAGCCTGGCCATCCAGGTTAAACTGTTGTAATCTGTTTCTCATCATAAATCATGAACACCATAAGATCACCTTATTGAATGTCGTTAAGCGATACAATTCAAGATAGGATTGTAATTTTCTAGACGGCATATGAATGTCTCATATTACAAGCATGAATTAGGCCTGACGACTAGTTACTAATTCGTTGGGGAATGAGTTACAAACTGATTTCCTACAAACATCAATGTCATTTTCTGTTAACATATTGTCATTTTATAACACATGAAAGCCCTATTCTTCAGGCTTGTGATCGCGTCACTGATCTTAAATCATTCAGAGGCTTACGTCAATAACGATAGTGATTACTTGGCTACATCATATCATTGTACAGCAGTTATCAATCAATATTCTTTCATTTTTATAATTAAAAATTCCTTTATGAAATTATTAAAACTCTCCTTTATAATAATATCAGATATATGAACTGGTCAATTGTTACTTCATTGTCATCGTAAATTTTACTATCCAGGTTACACTAACCTGGTTATAGTAACCGATCCATTTGAGGTGAAATAATTATATTTAAATGCAGATTCGTGAGAATTGAATAAAAATCGAACAGAACAATCAACCTAAATAAGATTGTCATACAAGTAGGGCTATGCATGGAATACCTAACTGGACGGTAAATTTATCGTTAAAACTACCTATACTTTTCGTTTCATTTTCAAAAACCATTAATGAAAGAATAGACTTTTGTGCCAAAGATCCAATCGGTCTGATACGCTAGTTAACTTTTTTGCTCTTTCTAAAGTTTTAAGCTGCTTTACGATCACGCAAAAAGACGTAAGCTGATAGTTAACACTAAGACAGAGGGCATTTAAACTGATACAGTAACGAACACAATTCACAATAAGCAACGACTCCTCTGCCAATACCGTAGATCTTACTGAGAAGCAAATACAACAGAATACAACACCTAATTTACAATTAAAAAACGATTGATTTCGTAACAGAAACACAAACCTGTGTACATTTTTAAAACGATCAAAATTATAACAAAAAACGAATGGATTTATGCACAAAATACTATCACAGTAAGCATTTAGACACTACATTGGTATGAATAAGAGCGTTTCAAATCAACAAAGCTTCACCTAACTAGATAATCCACAAATTTGTTATGTAGCTACTCATCTAAGTGCCATCAAAAATCGACTTATTTCATGTGATAGCCTCGATATTGAATATTCGCTACTTTATTTTTGTAGTGAAAACATAATCCATCAAGTAGCTTGATATGGCAATATCCACCGACGATTTATTCACCAAACTGCCTAACTTTAGTCTACAATAGCAAATGGCACCCATAAACTACGTTCAAACTAGACTCAGTAACTAAACTCTGCAAATATACAACTATGAGTATTTCAAATATCAGACAAGCTTGGACGCGCTAATAAGCCCGCCGACACTAAGTTATGTACCAGAAAAAGGGTTATTTTCAAGTCCTAACAACCCATGTATATTTCTTGACAATCAACTTCATAATACGTACGTATTAAGGTGTGTACATAACTCACTACGTATTTATCTTACCTATCTGTCTAAACATCAATTGCAAACTAAATACAAACATGGCTGACAGTCACTTACTTATACGCGCATTTGTATAGTAAAAACTAATCAACTCACTTTCTCTTACTCTGTCGCCTACTAACCATGTACATGAAATCAATTGTTAAAGTTACGTTTTTCAATTTCTGGATCATATATAACGTTGAAAGTTATACCAACACAAAAGTGGACAACGGATGAAGGGAAAAATAAGCATGCTGTTAGTTGTAACTTACAAATAACTAGTCAAACAACGACATGTAAAACCATCCACTAGCAAGTTTCATGAATATGTAAATTATGGTGAAATTAGTTTAAAAAATTCTCTATCATCTCATAACGAGTGTATTCATTGTCCGAATAAATAAAAAAAACTTTTTGAGATGCAGTAACTCATTATTCTCAATATTATTTTATAAATAGGCATATAGCAATTTTTTAAGTATTCCTACACATTTCCATGCTGGGGCAAATAAAGTAAAAATTTCATCTTACCTCACACATTTGTGGTTATATATCAAATAGTTGTTCACTTGAATCTCCACTCAAAAACAAGAGAAAAATATTGAGCTACTTATGAGTAGTGTATATATCTGGATTGATAAGTTGCCCAAGAAAATATGATTTGTTAGTACGTCAACATGAGTGTTACGTATCGGATGCACAACGTAATCTTGGGCGGATCAACCAGGTTTATGGCGGTTGTTAACCTGTTTATTGGAATAGGATATTCGTCGATGTATAACCATTCCGATAAACTTAAAGATGATTCCTAGCTTTAATTAAATTAAGTAGTTCATTCTATGTACAAAACGAGTTCCTGGAAGTTGTAACATGTTCAAACTCGCAAACCACGTTCGACATCTTAGAACCGCAGAATTTTAACCTTGTAAGAGTGGAAATACTAAAAATCCGGGTAATCGTACATGCCGCTACTTTATATAACGTTTTAGTCGATTTAAAAAATCTTAATCGAAAATCTAAGTGACGACTTAGAGCTCCATTCATTTTCCAATAACTTTGTGAATCACAGATTATCACTGAAATGGGTAGATACCATTAACAAAACTCGATAATTACCCAACACAGATTAGGACAAGTCATCCCTAAGACAAATATATAACTCATTTTAAGGAAATATAAAGGCTACAAAAAAAGGACTATAACGATTACCCAAAAATTTATACGAAAGAATATGATAAACGAATATCAAAGAGCAAGATTTACAATAAGTAGATCTCAGAAGAATAATCAAAGTTAATGATTAAAATGACACAGTCAGTAAAGCTGGTGAAGAATAAATTATCATTTATAGTAAAATATAAAGACATAGACAAAACTGGCAAATACCACACGCTGTAAAATCAGAAGCCAAGATTCAATGTGTCTCAATGAGTCTATTTGCACTCAAGAGTGAAAATAAGTAGAGAAAGGACACTATCATGAAGACTAATGAATATTGTTCTAGAAATATTAACAGAAGTGTGGCTGTGTGTAATTAAAAGGATAAGACTAAAATTTTGGACAAAAAACGATGCTATGTAATCATTAACATCGCTATTGTGTCATTGTCTCGTCTAGGTAGGTAGATAGGTAACAGAAAAAAAGTTAAATGAAATCTTATAGATCACTAACATAAAAGTAATAAATAAATAATTCTTCTGAATTAGAAAAAAAAAACAAAAGAAATGAGAACATGATTTAATTAGTTAGAAATTCTTGTAACAAAGTTAAACGATGCTTCTCACAAATATCCATTTTATTTTGTAAATCTGCTCGATCTGTGATTTCAGCATGTTCTATTTTCCATGATAAGTCTTCTACTTCCGCTTCTAGTAAGGCTTGCTGATATTCAAATAACTCTTTACGTTCCAATTTTTCACCATAAAATGCATGAGGATAAGTATACTTTAAAGTATATCGACAATTTCTTAATGTATCTGCAGCGAGTAGCAAATATTGCCAATCAATCCATGTACCTTCTTTTTTCAAAACTTTTTCATTAATACGCGTTTGAATACGTGCTCGTTGATCATGTTCCAATCGTAAACTACGTTCATGATTTTCCCACTATCATATAAAATGAACAGTTGAGAAATAAAATTGGAATTGTCAAAAACGACGAATTAATGAAGAAATTGGTGTGCAGTGAATCAAAATGGAGATTTATGAATACGTTTGACATAAAATGAATGTTTTTACATTTCCGGAAAGGACCAAGACAATAAGTAAAATTTAGACTGACAAGTGATCTAAATTGGAAAGGTCAATTTTAAACTATTAAATGGTTAGGAATAAGTTTAGCCGAAATCGTTTTTATCAGATAACTAATTTACTAATATAGTTAATCTGATTTCAGAAAAAAAGCAGTCGAGTATGATCAACAATTTACGACTACTTTCAAAATGACTACATTATAACAGATGAGTGGCAGATAGTAATTTATTTAATGGAAAAGATCTTATGAGAAAGATCAGTTCTTTAAAATTCTAGACATGCATGCTACAGAGTGCTACTGGTTTCTTGCTTCCTGCTAAGATTAAAATGACGAAATAATATATGACAGGAATAATGATAATTAGTTGAACCTGATATGAGAAACAGCATTTTACTACTTTGTACGAATACACGCTTCGATTAGGCTCAACACGTTGCCGACAACTATCCATTTGACAAATTAGAGCGGGTTCGTGAGAGAACCTTGTTAAGGAGTCCATCTGCCTGGTGTCCCCTAGTTTACAGTGATTTTTCGGCTGACTTTAGACCATGATTTTATTCTTTTCGTCATTACTCATAATTACCAAATACCAGCTAAAATCAAGAAAGCTAGTCAAAAACAACGTAGAACCTGCCACATGTATACGTCAGTTAAAGTTCCTATATCAGATTAGCACAGAGAATAACTAAAGTGAACTAGTTGGACTAAACTATGAAACATGTGATAGTCAGTCTAGAAACTATTTTCTAAAATATTGTATAATGACATTTCATCAAAGTGTTAAACAAGTTGCAGAAAGCCAACTAATTAGTTAACTTCCCCTCCTTTAGTTTAAATGCCATGATGGGAACTTCATAGATTAAATAAAGTCAACAACAAGGACTAGTTAACGTGAAATTTATTATTATCAAGAGAATGACTACCGTAATTTCTTAAACTAAATTACCTGAGATGTACCAAGGATTCAGAAATATTTCAAACTGTGTACACACAACAGCAGATATAAAAGGATTAAGATTTTTATAACATTTTCTTAAAGTTTTGATCTGTTAGGATCTAAAAAAACAACATTTCCACTGTTGTTATTATAAATACCATAACTTATACCACTTTCATGCAGATAATTTTAGTATATATGGGCTGGTACTGTGTCAAGTTCACACATGTTATTCTAGCCTCTGGACAGATCAATCTATTCATTTTTCTTAAGCCACATTTTTACCCTGTCATTTATTCGTTTATCAACCTTGACTGTCTTTATGTAAGCGTATGTGTATTTCATATCTTACTCATCACATGTCTGTAACTTATTTTTGTCTGACTATATCGATTAACGCTGGATTAAATGAAGTTCGGTCACTCGCCTTCAGCGCGCATCATTTTCTTTTCCTTCATATTCCGATCAACGATTGTACGAAATATACGTATTGAAACCCCATTCTCGTATTTGACTTATTTAATTCAGTTATTCACCAACGCGATTTGAGTTGATGATGATGACATGTATATTTCGATAGCAATCAGAAACAATCCAATTAGTCAGATATTCTAGAGCTACCAAAAGTGCAATGGACATATAAACAGAGATATTGAGAACTGTTCAAGAAATAAGTACACCTAAGTTGATAGTGTTATTTCAAAGAGTTTTATTTACAGAGACAAACAAACAAATATATTGTACAAGATTAGATACTAATACAGTTAGTGTATCTAAAATGTACACACAAAAAGGTAACATAAAGGATCTAATTCTTTAAAAAAACTGCACAAACATACTCGTTCATAATAAAACATATAGCGTTCCAGAGATTCACGTGCACGTGTTCGTACGGATTCTTTTGCAGAATCTGGATTCTCTTGATATTTGCTACAAAAGTAGTATTCTGCATCGTGTGATTTCCAAACTTTTTAGACATGAAAATGGAGAAAAAACATATATTACTACTATGTTAAAGAGAGTTGATGTGCATATTTTTTACTTATATATGAAAGTGTTACTCCTCCTTTACTGGTAAATCCCCTACCACAAAAGCATTAATTAACAGAAAGCGTATAATGAAGGTTTCTACTCAGTACTTCTTTTTAAGTTTGTGTTGAGGTAATTTATGAATGAAGTGACAAATGTACAGTTAACGGCAGAGATTAAATTAAGCAACACCTCAGCGAAACATTTCTGCCACCATATCATATCGTACTTGCAAACACGAACAAGACTTCTAGTAATATGCCAAAGGATATTCCCTCCTCTTGTTGCATAAAAATGTCAAGCAAAAATTCCACTAGAACTATACACTTTACAATAATTTTGTAAATCACACTTTAAGTGTTTAAGTTTTATTACAACGGCAAATTATTTATACTCCGTAATGAAAATAGAATTTCTTAAATGGATGGAGCACTTGAATTTATTTAAATTCTTGAATATTGATGGCGTACCCAACGTCCCACAGCTAGAAACAACATATTTTGTCTACCAAAAAGCTTCCCTAAAACCGATAGCCTGAATCTTGGGAGTAAAAATAACATTAGAAACAAGTCGATTATTAAAAAGGATTCAAAACAAAATAAATGAATTTGGTCCTCTGTCTTTCAAAATTCAGTCAGTCAGTCAGACACAACGTGGAACTTCGTACGTACGTACATCAGTTCGAGTTGCCATACCACATTAGCACAGAGATTCAGTTATCGTCTCAAATCCCGTAGTGGCAGAGTAGTGAAAGTATAAGTAGTGACAGGAAACGTTAAGGTTTGATGATGTTATTTAAGGAGTATAGTCCAGTGGAATATATTTGGAAAGAAAATAAAGGACATGGAGAATTCAGAAGATTAGAGTTTGGGAGAACACAAAGAGTGAATGCACCTGCGCCATTGCAAACGATTTTGAGCCATGTCATTCAAGGTCTCTAACCATCGGTTGCTATCATCTCGCGGTCCCCAACCAGGTAGTCTACATCTACCAACATGGCTGTAGTAAACTTTCAAAATTACTACATTGAATGGCGATACCCGAGTCATCTTCAGTACAATGGGAAACAGATCCAACTTGATAAAAGACAGCTAAAATCCTATTGTTCTTCTGTATCATAGTTTAAGGACCAATACAGACAAATTGTATAGCTTTGCATGACAATTTTGATTCTTTTTGTAAAAAAAAAAGAAGTGTTCTGCATCTCTGTTTGTTGAAATTATGTTTTGAAGTGTTGCTCTTCTGTATCTTCTTGTTCTTTCTTTTTATTCAAAGTTTGACATACACATAGTCAGACACACTGATCACAGTTTTTGTTATGGAATTTTCCTTCATTCTTGTAGACAAATGAATTCTTAAGAAAAGTTCAAAAAACAGGTTTTCTTAAAAGCTTCCCTTCTTGATTTTCTTCATATTAGTTTTATTCTTAAACGAAGTGAGTAACTGTGTAAACTCCCTGAGTCCTATCTTATCGGTGATTTGATTGATACCAAACAATTTCATTTCGACAATATAAGATGTCAAGATATTTTTGAATTTGAACAAGGTTTAATTTTACGATTTGTTGGAACCCAAACATCATGATTTCTAGTTCAATAGTTATACCACTATTTGCTACTGACTAGTTGAGAATTTTAACTTGTAGTCTTTCAATCACACTACTAATAGTTATAGTTAAAAGTACCTCAGCTTATGAAAGCAGCTATCTACTTTATCAGACACCAAGAATTTGTTGTAATCCACCCCTCTCCCTGAATAAATTGCCAAGAAATAAAAAGTACTAAGGAGCATACTTAAGTACAATGAATAACATACATCCTATTGATTGAAATTAAGTGTGTACCGAAAATTCTCTCTGTTCCTTGGTTTCTCATCCGCACAACTTTTTCATTGTTCGTTAACCTCACACTGGTTTATACTTGTTTAGTAATTAAATTTATCATCAATATCATACTTAAGACTTAAAGTTTTCATTGACAAAAATAACTATGAAGCAGCTAGAAATACGTCGTAAATAAACACGTGACTAACTACCACTTTTAATATTCCCAAAATACAAGTAACAGAATAACATGTTCACTCAAAAACATGTAGACTATGAATTCGATCCCATTACAGTATGTTTTATGAAACTACGACGAAACGATAATACAGTGTATCCTTATTTCCAATTATTTAAGGTAAGATTTCATTTCAATGTGGTAATTAAATCTAGTTCCCTGAAAAGTTCGTAGTTCAGTTTTACCACCCACTATTTGCAGTACTAGTGTACGAGGGCACATTGGGGTAATATTAATTTCTAATACTTAGCAAGTAGTATTCAATGCAGTTTGTATTTGTACAACAAAGTACAAAATGAATATATATTACTCAGTTAAAGGTTATTTGTGTAATCTATATTCTTTATAATGATGGAAAAATATGAAATGGTTACAATGGCTTACAGTCAGTCAGGTTGATGTAAAATAATATTCTAATTCATCAGCAACATAACAAAGTAATATCTTTTTTCGTACTGTTAATATAACTCGTTTACTAAGTACAAGTTAATGTATTCGGCTTTGAGTTACACTGGTTGAGAGATAGTGACATTCTACCTGAATCCCCAAACTGAAGTGTTACGAAGTTCGAACTTACAACTTATTTGACAGAAAGTGAGTGTTTTAACCATTAAGTTAGAGCCTCTTTTTTAAGATTAATTGTGATTCATTGAGTTAGACAAAAATCATATATATCCACGGCATATATTAACCCGATATTCCTAGAAGTTTTATTTACTATAATATCCAGTTAACTGGCTTACTTCCTATTCCATAGCTGTCGTATCAATTTTCGTCATATTCATTAGCTAAAAGACTTTCTTTACTTAACTCCTGTGTTTTAAAAGCTTTTTTCCTGATTTTATTACATTAACTTACAAAAGAAAGTTTCGATGTTTGTCAGTAAACAATGTGGAGTCTGATGCATTATTTCTCTTTACTATACTCATCAATACCAAATTAAAACTCACAGAAATAGACTAAAGAATTCATAGATTAACATAGAAAAAAGTATAAGAAAGAGATGGTTGTCATTTTGAAAAATCTACTTAAAATTATAGAAGAAATCAGTTGAACAATGATGAAGCGTATTAACTGGACGTGATTGAGAACAAGTTAAATAAGTATAGTTTTCTTAATAGCCTTTTTTAAAATAATACTGATAAAATATTTCTAGGGTCTGGAAAGCATACACACATCGTATTACATAAAACGGTAATATACCACATGAATGGAGATACATTTTTGCATATTAAAATGATACAAAACTAAAAAACATAACAATTGTTAAAAAAAAAACCTACGATTCCTACCAATATTAACAGTATTATAATTACTTACCGCCTAAACACACCCAACAGAATTCGTAGTGACAAATTGAGCATTTCTAAATGATAGAAAGGGGTTAAACATGATAAAATTATTTCTGAAGAAAATACTCCTGTAGCTAATGAATATGAACAATTCTGTGAACCAGTAATCAATGCAAGAAGTTATTAAAGTTCTGGGATTAAGAGAACACTTAAGTTGCTTTCACCAGCAACTATTGTTATTCATGCATACTACTTTAAATTAAATTGTCTAATAGCATAATTTTATGACAACGTAAATCGTGAAATTTGGTTAAATTTGACTGTACCGATGAACCATTCAGAAGCGAGCAACTCATATCAACATAAGTGGGGACATATCAAACCACGAGATCCTAACTACTATCGATTGTGTAATGAGTAATTTTATCCAAGAAAACATTACTAAACACCTAAGGTTGGGTTTAAGATAAGGATTTTTGGTTATAGCGTATATTGATTCTACATATATTGTAATCTTAAACCTTAAACCTAAATCCTTATTAATAAACTCTAGTGGTTAAATGCCTATATGCAACCTAGAAAAATTCATCAATTACGCAAAAGTAGAATATACTTGGTAAATATTACTTTCTATAAAATCTAAATATTCACATATTCAATTTTTTTTTTTTGCTTCCTAATTATTTGGGCGGAGACAATGTTTTAAGATCATTTGAAGATGTGTTCAAGTTCGTTGGTAGTCTTTAAAATGACCCGAAATTTTATAGCTTCGTTTTTGTTCTTTTATAGTTCACTGACATGAAATACTATAGAAGTGTGGTATGCTAATTAATCAAGTCTAAACAACGATTCATATTACATTCAACTAATAAGAACACAAATAAAGTAACATATGAATTTTAATATTTGAAAGCATAAATAATGAAGTACGATGTATATATACAGAAAGTGTTACATATGAAAATATAGCTCAATCACACATGTACAAAAGACAATCGATTCAAAAGGGTAAATAAAAGAACAAATTAACCAATTACATTCGTAGAAATATTGAGGGAAAAAGTCATGTTCAACTTATTTGAATTCGAAGTGAAAAGAATACAATAAGTATATCACTGAAAAACCTATAAATAGACCAAAGCACAACTTTGAGAATTTACATTGGCTAAAAGGTAAAAACTGAAATATTTTAGTTAATTACGCTGATAATGTGAGTGTTTGAATAAAACCTACGTTGCAGTTGACTGACTGACTGACTGTTTGAATAAAAAACTTATTTCTTAAAAATATTAAACAGTATACTTAGGTACAGACTAAGCAATTTTACTGATGACGTATGAACGTGTGATCACTATACAAATAAGAATAGTAGCTAAACCGTCATGTAAATGACTAGAGATCTTATATACACACGACTTCGCAGTTATAATTAACTAATATCAGACTTCTAAATAAAAAATAAGGAATAACTCAACAATTTGAGGGTTTTTTTCCTATTAATGAAGTAAAAGCCACAACCATCATCTGAGAACCAAGTGTTAGTACATCATTCACATCTTGACGGGCAAAAAAAGGTTTAAGCCTGTAACTTATAGGTATAGTTGAAGCAGATGAACTAACGTGCCACACCTTAACAGAATACAATCCCAAATCCTATTCGCAGTACTACTGTAACTCATGTTCGACTCTAGCTAAAATATATATCCCAAAATTAATTGCATATATATTCAACGATCGCATCCGGTTTATAACAATGTGAACTCTAAAAGTCAAAATACTAATTACATAGAGGATACACATATTTCAAGCAACCATATACGGGCAGATAGGGTAGAATAATTATCCCAACGAAAATAATTACAATAGGCCTGTAATTACAGTTATGAGGAAATGTATTGGGATACACTGTCATAGAATATTTCGTTAGATTGGAATGATGCATTCTACCGTTCATACAAAAATAGGTTACATAAAAGTGTGATAATAATTCTTAACAACATATTATTACCTGCTTCTAAATTATTGTTAAATTTATTAATAATAATGAATTAATGTGAAAGTGACCGAAATTAGACTATATATATATTACAATAGCATTTAAACTATGCAACATTTGTTCTTCCTTTCAAGTTTCAAATAGAAAATATTTTACTTTTTTAAGTGGCTCTGTTTACAAACAACTAGCTGATGAGCCTAAGTCGTGAGTTTTGGCATGCCAAAAATACGTTTCAAAATATTATTTAGTTTAAGGAATCAGTTTTATGAATCTAGTTGGAGTTACAAAATTGATATGAAATCTCCTACTTACATTCACTTCTGATTTTTATCAACCCTATGACTAATCACGGAATGTTTTCTAAATTTTGATTATCAAACTGCGTTGTTTAACTTTTTTTTTATTTTCTCATAAATAAATTTATCAACTGATGTATGATCACATTCTATGAGAAATCAAACTTTTTACTACCTTTTACTGTTGTTTAAAATAAACGAAATGGTTTGAACTTGATAAGTTTTCTAATTGAACGCTAGATTCGGTTGCTAAGCTCTTCTAGTGACCCCCAGGCTAAATCTACACAGCGACCTGAACACAAGAGAAAAGGCGCGAAATATTGAAGAAATGATTTACTCCAAAGGTTCGTTTATGTACATAAAATCTAGGGTTTTTATAGTACTCTCAATGGCCTTCGGTTTCCAGAAAATCCTAGAACGCTACTAAACATAGTAGCAGTATAAGTAATCATCCAATCAGAAACTTGACATGTGACTTTACACTTTCTAGATGTTCCTGACAAAACTTCTGGTGATTGGATAAGACACTTCTTAGCGTTTTCAGAGCCTTTTGTGGCTTTTTTCGTGTATTATTCTGGATCCCCCAAAAAGAGCTTTAATAATGTCATAAGATAACAAAGAGTAATACAAATTCACCTACCATATGATTGCAACCTTCATTTTTCTCGATACACACATGACATGATGGACAATCTTTTGTATGAGCTGTCATATAATTCGCTGTTCCTGAATCATCTCGACACTTAACAAGCCAGTGCTTTAGAGTTGCACAACTAGTTGGAGCATGATACGCTTCTGAGCACATAAAACAGAACTCTGCATGGCACCGCTCGCACTGAACACGCCGTGCTTTTGGTTCTTCAAGTGCACAAATCAAAACAGGACAACTCAAACCGACACAAAAACGTAATGATGGATGACTCTAAAATCATTGAAAAAAAACGAAACGTTAAATCATTCAACCTGAAAATTAGAAATCTAAATAAAATGAATAAGCATTGGTTTGTAGTACTGCAAGCTCGATTACTTGAATTTATACCTACAACGAAAAGCTAAACGTACCATGCAATTTGTAGTTATGATAACCAGAAAATCCGGATTGTAGCTGTTACCTTGGCGTGATGGTCAGACTTACCTACCGCACCGACCCAGTCGAGCTACATGGACTAGAACATCTATTTCTTTAGGTCCTACCATATCAAGTAGTTTAGTGGAGGCAGTAAGCCAAGCTCCGAGGGCGAAGTCGTACTGTGGACTATAGACGTATGAAGGCAGTAAGGAAGTCCCTACAGATAACCAGCATCTCCATCTGCTGCCTCCTTGCAATGGAAGGGTTGGAAAAGATTAACCCTAAATACGTCATACTTCACTTAATCCAACCAATTTTCATCTCCGATAGTAAAGCCTTTTTCAATGACGGAGCAAATACAACAAAGATCTACAAAAAGTCCGCCTTCGACCGGCCTTAAGCAGTTGTCCCTTGGGTTCTGTTACGCTCCTAGATCACTAAGACCACTACTAATTCAGTTCCAGTTTCAGGTCCTGAAAATACAAACCATCCTTCCATGGTGAAGTCAACAGGGAAGTGACAACTGCCCCAATACTTTTAACCGCACTCGAGATCACCTTGTTCACGAACAAATCACTTCATCATTTCTCAATATTTCTCCTATTCCCGTTATTAACCCTTCCCCTATGACTTTATCGCCATGTACCACCAGTGTTAAGGAGACGAGTTCAAGAGATGTTATCCCTCGTCCCTTGAAACTGCACTCCAAATTATATTTTGGAGTGTCCGATGTTCAAGCCCTGTGTCAGATAAACCAATAGGCTTCCTTAGCTAGTGCTCCATAATCTTGTCCTATCGATATATGTTATCTCAGATGCACACATGATCCAAGTACGATTATTCACTTGAACTCACCTAGTTAATACATAGAACCAGCCAAATCTATACACCATGTTTCTGAGGGTTTGACTTCCATCTCTTGTCGCATCGCAGGCGTAAGCACAGCAGTAGGTCTATAAGCAGAACAGGCTCTCCTGGATTAATAATAGCAGGTTATCCACTATTCTAAAACAATCGGGATGAGATCCAATTAAACTGTTCTTTCCTTAATGAAGTTGAAAAGGTTATAGCTAATCTAACACTAAGGACAGCGGAATGTCCTGAAGAATTAACCTCGAAGTGCTTTAAGTATGGTGACCCATTTTTTGCAGTTAGATTACCTGAAATCTCAGCTAAAACCTGGAAACTGGACGTAACCCCACCTGATTGGTTTCCATCACTGGTTGTCAAGATTTATAAGAAAGGAGAAATATCCTTTTGTGAGAACCATAGAGGAATCAGTTTAACTAATATAGTATACAGAATATTCGCTTCAATAATCATCGGACACTGAAGTAAGGCTTGTGTAGAGTAAACTCAAGAAAACCAAGCTGGTTTCAGATCTGAATGTGGATGTATCGTCCGAATCATCACTCTTCATTAGGTCTCAGAACACAGATATACTTTTCCAAATTCGACCTTATAGCAGAGTTTGACTGTTGATCAAGAGTCAGTCAGTCACAACGTAGAACCTGTACATATGTATATCAGTTCAAGTTGCCATATCCCATTAGCACGAGATGAAGTTATCAGACCAAATCCCAAAATAGCAGGGGTAGCAGCAATATCAGTGGTAATAAGAAATATTAAGCATTGGAGATGCGACTCAAAAAAAAATGTAAACTAGCGAAATAAAAAAAGTTGTGAGGAATAAAGAATCCCAGGGTTTGAGGAAGAACAAAGAATGGATGCACCTGCGTCATTGCAAATTATTTCGAGCTATGCCATTCAAAGTCTCAAACCATTGGTTACGAAAATTACGCGGACCCCAACCAGGTGGTCTGTACCTATAAATATGGCCAAATCTATGTCTATCAACATAAGTAGCACACACCATAACATGTCCCAATCACATAAGTTGATGATTTACTACCTATCTTATCAATCGTTTAACCATCTTTACCTAATACTCTATTCCTAACCCAGACACTTCTTACTCCGTGATCCCAAAATGTATGACCAATGCTTCGAAGACATCTATTATCAAATACCACTAACCTACAAATATCCCCTACTCTTAATGGCCATGTTTCACATACATAAAGGAGGATGGAACGAACGGCTGGTTGGAAGACAGATATCTCCTGTACTCCACAAGTGACGCAAGTTGGCAAAAGCCAATAGAGCTTTCTGAATCCGCGATGAGATTTCGTCAGACATCAAACCATTAGCATTGATGAGACTCTCAAGATTAGTGAGGCGGTAGATGCGTTCAATTACTTCACTTCCTATCACTAATTCAAGCGATGACGCAAGCCAATCCTGAAGTAACATTTTACATTTGAAATATGGCTATATTGTTGCTCGAGACGGTCAGAAGACTGCATTTTGTCAGCGTCTTCACCAAAGAGAAATACATCATCTGCGTATTCGAAATCAACAAGTGAACCTCCTGGTATACGAACAATCCTTGAAAAGTCAGACGACAGAAGTGTCTTCTCAAAAAGCATATCTATGACAAGGTCAAATAAAAATGGAGGAAGTGGACAACCATGACAAACATCACTTGAAGTAACCAATTCTGATGGCAGTTCTCCATAAGCTCTGACCGGACAAGAATTGTTCGAGGAGAGAGCCTGTACAATGTTAATGTACTTCATTGATACGCCTTTCAATGACAGGAACTGCCACAATTTCCGGCAGGCTTTACCGCTAGAGACAAAACCCGCCGGGTAAAACTTTTTGAACCCCTTCCTTCTGTTGTGAGAAGGGAGAATCGATACAGGTGGTTGATCGAGAGTGACACCCTACTGCCTCCACACCTATGTACAGCCAGTAGTACATCGCCCTCGAGCCTTCGGGTGGTGCTTTTAGTTTTACCGTTCTCCAACCGACCTGCATGACATGGTAGGGCCTAAATGAAAATGTGTTTTAGCCAATATAGTTCGGCTAAGCCATCATGATAGGCAAGCCTGACCATCACATCAAGGTAGCAGGTACGATCGCGTGTTGATCGAGAGGTTTTGTAGTAGCGCCTATCGCTAAAAAGGATACCATAGTTCATCAAATTTGTACAGGCTATAATCGGTCACTACTGGCCAAGTTGAAGCTTGCAACGAACTATCATCAGCATAGTCAACCCCAAGTGGTATTTGTCAGGGTAGTCCACTCTCCATTCTTATTCAACCTCATCATGGACATTGTCTCAGGGAACTGTTCTACCAAAAACTGACTAGCCAACTTGAAATATGCAAACGACACTTCTACTGGGTGGAGATGCTGACAAAATACAAAATCTTCTGATCGTATTGAGTGACAATGTATGTTAATGTTGGGGAGATCCAGAATATTCCTCGGAAAAAGTCCGGATAGGCTCTGAAAACGCTGAGAAATATTTTATTTAATCAGCGTCGACTAAGAGTTTCTCAGAAACACCTGGAGAAAGAAGTCACGTGTTCTATTTCTGATTGGATGATTATCTACCCTGTTACTATGTTTAGTATGGTTCCAGAGCCTTCCAGAAGTCTAAGGTCGTCTGAAATGATATAAATACCCTCGATCTTCTGTATATGAATGAAAATTGAAGTAAAGCGATCTTTCCACATTTCGCGCCTTTTCTGTCGTGTTTAACAGTCAGTCAGTCAGCTACAACGTAGGACCAGGCATATATATGCATCGGTCCAAGTTGCCATACCGCATTAGCACAACAAAATGAACACCGATTCACAGAAGTAGTTCCCTCAATGGTGGTAATATGTAAGAGGAAGATCGCATATAAGGATATAGTACAGGAAGAAAGATTTAGTACGTAGAAAGAAAGATACGAAGCGATTTTAATCTTTTAGTTTAAGGGAAGACAGAGTGTATACACCTACGCCATTGTGATCGATTTTGAGCCATGTTACACAGAGTCTCCAACCATTGGTTACGATAGTCACTCGGACCCCAACTATGTAGTCTGCATTTACCAACATGGCTCAGACCAGAAGTTAGTGTCTTCAAGCACTGATGCCATGTTTCGGTTTGACCGGGTCGTGTAGATTTAGCCTGGGGTTAAGAAAAGCTTGGGAAACCTATTAAAGCGTTTAAACAAAAGATTTATCAGTTTGGGATCGGTCTATCCTCCTAAATATTGCCTGAAGACTGGTCTGTGTCGACGCCTGAACTAATAATAGGGAATGAAATAGTTGAAGACATCAACCGCTTTACTTGTTTCGAAAGTCTCATCAACCCTGACATGTTGGTGTCTGATGAAATCTTGACAGATTCAGAAGATTCGGTTATCTTTTACCGAGTTGCGTCAAAAGTGGCGTAGGCCAGATGTCCATCTGCTAACCAAAGGTCAGTCAGCAACAACGTAGAACTACGTACGTACGTACATCAGTTCGAATTGTCAAACCACGTTAGCACAAAGATACAACTGTCGATCCGAATCCCATAGTGGTAGAGGTAGTAAAAGTATAAGCATTAATCGGAAACATTAGGGTTTAAAGGTGTCATTCAAGGAGTATAATCCAATGAAATAAATTTGGAAAAAGAAAAAAGGGACATGGAGAATCCAGAAGATTAGAACTTGGGAGAACACAAAGAGTGGATGCACCTGAACCATTGCAAACGATTTTGAGCCATGTCATTCAAGGTCTCTATCGCCTCGTGGATTCCAACCAGGTAGTCTACACCTACCAACATGGCTCAGTCCACTTGTCAGTGACTTCATGGATTTGTGCCATGTTTTGGTCTGGCCACCCCTAGCTTTCTTCCAACCTACTCCTACACCACAAAACACCGCTCATCGGAGCATTCGGTGGTTGAGCATACGTAATATATGTCCCAGCCATCTCAACTAATGAAGTTTCACTACTTCGTCGATTGATTTGACATCACTATTTAGTACCCGCTTCCTAACAACTGCATTACTTACTCGGTGGTCCCAGGATATACGAGCTCAGAATCAAAGTCAGTGGTAATACAGTCAAAGTTTCTTGTCTTTATGTATACAGCTATATGAAGACTTGGAAGAAATGAAATCTACCTAGGTTGCTTTGCTTACCAATTTTATTATTACATAGTATCCTTTGTTCTACTTTTCCACAAAATTACCATTTTATTTCATGTAAGGTGTGCTCGATTGTCTTTATTGTATCACATTTCTTATGTTTAAGTAAACATAGGATAGGAAAGTTTTTTTGAATGTCCAAAAGCACCCAGATGGTAGATTTAGGAAAATAAAAATCATTTGGAAGAATCCTTCAACTGAGTCGAACAACTTACATGGCAGTAGAATCAACACAGCAAAAATCTTTGAAAATCATGTTGACAGCTAGGAATAATAGAACAAAATGTCTTACCTCAACCATACGTTGAAACAACAGATTCAAATATTTGTCTTTCACAGTCGGATTTTTCAACAGTGTTAAAAGGAAATCTTCGATCACTAAAACATTACATCCAACCGACATACATTTAATTTCAATACTAGAACCTTCTTCTATTTTAATTGTTAAATATGAACGCCAGCAATCTGGACAAAATCTATGTCCACAAGAGAGACCGTAGAGACCATTCATTTTATTACTGGTCAGGAAGTCACAACTTTTATCATGAGGGTTATATGACCAAACATCCAAGACAGTGTTGTAGATATTATTATTATTATTATTATTAGTAGTAGTAGTAGTAGTAGTAGTTGTTGTTGTTGTTGTTGTTGTTGCTGCTGCTGCTGCTGTTGCTGTTGTTGTGGAAGAAGAAGAATTAGAAGAGGGAAAAGGAGTTATGCCAGAGGGAAAAGACGAAGTGCCATTTTTTGAATTCCCTTGTTTTGAAGGAGTTGGACTATGAAGCAGTTGTAAATCTGATTCATTGAATATATTAACTGGATTGTCCGTCTTATTTGATGGGACTGTATAACATATTTCACAACAGGAATCTAGAGGATTATAACGTGTAAATAATAAAACTTTATAAATAATCAATAACGGTAATAGAAAACCAACGAAGTACTATGATGAACCAAAACTTGACCAAACATATTTCCAACACTAGTTGAATATCAGGCAACAATTAGAAACCTTGAGCACACTAATATATCATATTAATCAAGGTTTAAAATGTAGTAATCAACCTGAAAGACTGTAGTTTGGATTCTGGCATATCCGCTCAAAGTTGCAAATGTAGGCTTAGTGCTTCACATGAATCGTAAGTAAAATGTATGTATGACCTCAAGAAAACTCATGCTATGATTGAAACCTAAACTTTTTACCCTCATAGTCAAAGAAAGCGAGTTTACCTTTTATCCAAAAAACCTAGAGGAGAAACATATGCAGTACTTATAACAACAATTATAATCCCAGCATTACAGATACGTATATTCAGTTTTGAACAACACTTCCCACAAGAATTTTATTGGGAGTCTCGGATCCGAGTAACTCTAACAGGATTCAAACCTAATGCTCAACGATTAAAAAATTACTTAGTGATTCCTACATACTGGCCTCTAATACTTAATAGTCACATTTTCAAATAAAGTGGCCATCTTGGTCATTTAAGACGGTTAGGTACATTATAAGGTATGTTTTTATTCTGAAAAACCTGGAAAAGACAGTGAGTTAGTACTAACCGCCTCATAAAAGTAGGTTACAATCACGCCTGGCCCTCGTCCGGAAGTGGAAGAATTTAAACTAGATTCTTCCGGACAAACCGATTTTTACAAACCTTCCCACCAACACCGGAATTTTGTACAGTACGAATGTTGTATGTACGGTCATGACTTCTACATCCGTCCTTTTAAGCAGCTTAATGGCTTTGTTAATGGTAACTGTCAATTTTCAATAAATTTGAGTCTAGTTCTCAAAAATACGTTCCATCCATTATTTCAACTCAATTTGATTCGATAAACGTATAACAACCTCCTTGTACCAACCCTTAGAGTGAACGATAGAGTGATAAAACAACAATTCATCATAATTATGCAAACAAAGTGGCGGAATAGCATAATCGTGCAAAGTTTCAGTTCAGTGAAAACACTTTTTATTTTGAACAATAACATTGAGACAGAAGGGCAGAGAGCTAGACCTCAGTTAAAAAGTTCTGGAACATATCTTTAATGGAGAGGCATGATGGATAGAAACACTTAACAGTGAGGTCAGGCATAACTTTCATCTTAACAATTATATTTAGCAAGCGAAAATACTGGACGACAATAAAAAAGTCAGTCATAAATTAAGTACAAAAATATAAATAACCTGGAGTAATTTTTGGAGGAAATATGTATGGGGCTACTTGAAAATTGAAATTTTGAATCGCGTGAATAGTAGCCATTACTGCTTGACTATCACTGGAGCTGGATTGTATACTAAGATTTGGGAGTATATTGTGACTAATTAACGTGACCAAAGGATGGGTCAAGAACCTTTTCTTGATTGCCTCCACATCCCATTTATTATTATGTAACAGCAAACGAGCTATGGCTGGTGGTACCTGAAATCATTCAACAAGATTTATGTTTCGTTTTACTTTCTTATGACACAAAAGGAGTGGTATAATAGGGTACTGAAGAATGCGCTACATGGAAATAAGTAAGTGTTGTACAGAAGAAGAATGATAATAAGAATGAGTATAAAAAACAGGCTTTGAATAAGAGCACTGGCACAATATATGTTACTGATAAGTATATTTACTACTTACTCAATTAACAGAATAAAACTGTAAAATGATTACCTCTGGTTCCCATTTCGAAGCATACAATTCAAGTTACATCTAACCCAGGAAAAGGTGTGCTGACAGACAATAACGCAAAGGTTATTCTTTAGTGAAGAAAAACATCGAACGGACAACAGTGACTCAACTCATATAAAAATTAAGTACTTACATTCAGACAAGTGAACTTGCAGGTACATAGTACAACTTATCAAAAGAAATTGTACAACCACACTTTTAAGCCAGAATTCCCAGACAGTAACAAAGGTGTCTGTGGCTGGCATACAACCTTCTATGTAAGAAAACTAAATTCCTCAAAAGAAGCTCCGATAACTGTGTATTACGAGGCAAAAACAATCAAGTTCTTTGAGTGCCTAGATGTCAAGAATGAGCCGTCTGTTTCTGCGATTTTGTAAAAGTGCTTTACACTTGAACACTAAAGGAAAACGATAGTAAAAATCAATCTGCGAATTATGTAACTTGAATGGTGAGAGACTATAACGAAACACCGATTTCAAACTTCACGTAGAAAAACCTTTTTCCAAGTACTGTAATACTGGGTACCTTTTTTAGGACCGTACTAGAAGTCTCACTACGACGTTATATGTTTTTCCTGTGAGAACCAGAAGAGAAGCTGACATGGCTTCAGATCACCACCTAGTTGTGGCCAAGATGAAAGAGAAGCTAAAGAAACATTGGACACCTGAGGGAACACCATTACAAAGGTTCAATATAGCCTTCCTTCGAGATACTGACAAACTCAACCAATTCAAGATAACTCTCAACAACAGAAGCCAAGCCTTACGGAATCTACTGAAAGAAACTACTATGGAGGACAACTGGAAAGGGATCGAAAAAACATCAACGTGTCAGGTGCTGGGTCGCAAGAAGCCGCATCATAAGGAATGGATCTCTATGGGAACCCTGGACAAGATTCAAGAAAGGAAGAACAAGAAGACAGTAATTAACAACAGCTGAGCAAGAACAGAGAAAGTCAAAGCACAAGCTGAGTACATAGAAGCAAGCAAGCAAGTGAAGAAAAGCATTAAAGCCGACAAGAAGAAATACGTGTAAGAACTAGTAACGACAGCAGAAAAAGCTACAAGAGAAGGAAATATGAAACAACTATATGATACAACGAAGAAACTAGCAGGAAGATATAGTAAACCAGAGAGACTGGTCAAGGAAAAAGAAGGCAGGCCAATTACTGATATTCAAGAACAGAAGAACAAATGGGTAAAGTAATTGGAGGAACTCTTAAATAGACCAGCTCCATTGAACCCACTGAATATCGAAGCAGCATCTACAAACCTATAGATGTCACCCCACCAACGACTGAGGAAATCAGGATGGCCGTCAGACAAATGAAAAGTGGGAAAGCAGCAGTACCTGACAATATACCAGCTGAAACTCTGGAGTCAGACACAGAAGTAACTCTAAACATGCTTCACATACTATTCAGGAGGACTTGGGAGGAAGAACAAGTGCTGATAGACAGGAGAGAAGGATACATCATCAAGATACCAAAGAAAGGAGATCTGAGCAAATGTGAGAACTATAGAGGCATCACACTATTGTCAGTACCAGGAAAGGTTTCCAACAGTGTTGCTGAACCGGATGAAAGACGCAGTAGATGCCCAACTTCAAGACCAACAGGCTGGGTTCCGTATGGATGGGTCGTGCACAAACCAAATTGTGACACTACGAATCATCGTCGAACAATCAATTGAGTGGAACTCGTCACTATATATCAAATTCCTTGATTATGAGAAAGCGCTTGACAGAGTGGATAGAACATAATGAAAACTTCGACACTATGGAGTTCCTGAGAAAATTGTCAACAATATCCGGAACTTATATGACGGACTACAGTGCAAAATCGTGCATGGAGGGCAGATGACAGATGCATTCCAAATAAGGACCGAAGTCAGACAAAACTGCCTACTCTCCCACTTTCTCTTCTAGTTGTTGACTGGATTACAAAGACTTTAACATCTGACGGGAAGCGCGAAATACAATGAAAGGTTGGACGCAGCTAGACCATTAGGACTTTGCAGATTATCTAGCTCATCCATCCCATACACACGAACAAATGCAGATGAAGACAATTAGCGTGGTAGCAGTCTCCGCATCAGTGTGCCTCAACACACACACAAAAGATAAAGCAAGATCCTCACATGCATCACGGAGAACACAAACCCAATCACACTTGATGACGAAACCCTGGAAGATGTGGAATCCTTCACGTACTTTGGAAGCATCATCGATGAACAAGGAGGATCCGATGCAGACGTGAAGGCGAGGATTGGCAAACCAAGAGCCACATTCCTACAATTGAAGAACATATGGAACTCAAAACGACCGTCCGCAAATCAACACCAAAGTCAGAATCTTCAATACGAACGTAAAGACAGTCCTACTATATGGAGCTGGAACTTGGAGATCTACCACAAACATCATCAAAAAGGTAGAAGTATTTATGAACAATTGTCCACATAAGATACTGAATGTCCGTTGATTTGATACCTTCAACAACAGTCTGCTGTGGGCGAGAACAAAGTGGCTTCCAACTGAAGAGGAAATATGGAAAAGACGTTGCAAGTGGATGTGACACAGATTGAGGAAATCGTCTAACTGTAATTTATTATTTATTTGAACACATAGATATTGGTACAAGGAGGCACCAAATACATATGCGCCACACACATCTCATTTGATTTGTGCGAGAGCTGTGATACTGCCCGTGTGCCCAAACCGAAGCAGATGGTTTCCTTAGGGGACCACACCCGGAGCTTTCGACCTAAAGATCTGATCCACAAGGCAGTGGAGCATCGTAAGGAGATGCAGTCCCATGGTAGCCGGTGACCAATGATTGGTTCATACGCCATTTGTTCCTTCAGGATACTGGAGCCCATGTGCACCATTGGTTTGGAATCAGGGTTTTCCAACTCCCCTAGGGGGACTCTCTGTGTCCATCAACTCGGTCAAAGCGCCGAACATTCGCTTTTCGTCCTCACATTTTCTTAAACAACACCACCGCCACGAAAAGGCAATGAGTAGGACTTCCCTGGCAGAGGCTGTATACGCGTGGCCATGTGAGAGCATTTCGAGAGTGAGCGGACTCTCCCCACTTTCGGTCGTACCAGGGCACTCAGGGGGGCATCATCTAACTAACTGCATCACGAAGCAAGCGCTAACTTTGAATCCCGAAAGGAAACGGAAAAGAGGAAAGCCGAAGAACACATTGTGCCGAGAATTGGAAGCAGACATGAATAGTATATCAAGTGGAAACAATTGGAAAAGATTACCTAGGATAGAGTTGGATGGGAGAATGCTGGTGAGCGGTCTATTTTTCCCCATGACGAGTAACACGTGTAAGTCTTATTGAAGACGGTTGAGGTGGTCAAATCCTAATAATGGAACATTGCGTGACATTTCAATTAGTTTAATTAAACTTGGTAAGCTATCAGATTTCTGTTTTGTCAGATTTGGATAATCCGATCGTGAGGACGAAAAAACAGCCGACTTTAGTACTGAAGTAGGTTACAATGCTGTCATCCACCTTGTAGCCTGTTAAACATTCAAAACTACCAACCTCTACGCCAAGGCAACTTCTAAAACTAATCGAGGCAATCATAACGTTTTATTCCGTTTGAGTATATAGTTATAGGACCCATGAATAATTTCATAAGTCTCACTGAGACTGAGGAGGTTAAAATATTGTTGATACAAAACAGGTCCATGTAACTTTGAAAAATTGACGTTTTCGATTGACACAACGTAAGCCTGTAATAAACATGATACAGTCAAAAACAATAGGTCATTTTAAACGAAAACTATAAATTAAAAGTTATTAAGGCAAAAACACATGGGCCTACGACGAAACTCAGTAAAATAAATTGTATGTCAGATTACTGTGGTATGCTATACACTAATGAGAGCTACGAAATTTAAATAGACCACGTAACTAGGACCCAGAGGAAGTTCTATTGTCTACTAAGGATTTCACAGTGACGAGCTGTTGTATGTCAGAAGCATAACATTTCTCTGGGATGATACTATCTGTAAAATTAAAATCCTGTAAATTATGTTGTCAATGATATCCAATGACCATTCAACATATTTTTTGGCAACCTTTCCAAGTTTGAGCAACGCGCAAAATAAAACATACATTGATTAGGTTACACAGGGCATCAACTGTGCTGTTCAAAAAAATTTCAACCTCATTCCTTTCAAAGGCTTTGTACAGAAAAGACTCAGGATGAAGTCTGTCGGAACAAAACCTGAATGTAATAAAATAAACAATGAAATCTACCCATACCTTTCCCCATCCACATCATATTCCGGCTCCATATAATTGTAATCGTCCGACTCATCTGAGTCATATGACTGGTCATTGTTTTCCTCCTCCATTCTAAAGACGGAGCATTAGATAGTGAGGACTACCATTTCGACCTAGATTTTAGAAAAGACCGCTTCTTCGACAAAAACCTTCGAACACTAACTTTCAGACGTCAAACTTATATGGACAGAAATAGACGTTCAATTGCTTTTTAAGATCTATGTTTGCGTTATAGAAAGATGTCCTTGATCACAGTTGAGTACAACTCGTGTTTTGTTTCTTTACTGCCTAAAGAGTGAAGATTATTTTTATTAAGAGGAACAATCGAATGGTATTTTAGCGGTAAATAAATCTCCGAAATAAATAGCTCTGTAAGTTTTCGACATTGGATGCTGACCACAGTTTTAATGGACTCATCCAGCTCGATCATGCGTCCGCACCAGATCACCTGTGGGAACGCCGTGCTCGCTAGCCAGATTAGTTCGGACTATCCTCGATATATTGATAGTTTATCAAATATATCTTAGAACCTCCTCGCTTCTATCTTTTGATTTCATTTGGTGGGTACGCTTCATATTAGGAGGTGTTACTGGTCAAAGCGTTGTCAAACTCCGAATATCTGTGGCATCTTCATTGGTGAGCCCGAAGTGATCTGGTACACTAAATTGCAAACAGTGAGTCTGTTCTTTTTTGAGATTTTATATATCATTGTCCTATTTTAATTTTTTATACATTGCGATATATTTTTTTCGTGATTTGGATATATATATTTCTCACTCGTCCATTCTCGTACTTAATGTATAACTGTGACTGAACAGACACCTAAGGTATTTAAGTTAAAGACTGTGTCCCCACCTTCGTTCCAACTAATGCCTTTCTGGCCAGACAATATCGAAGCCTGGTTTCGCTACGCAGAAGCCGACTTCTGCGAGCACGGCGTGAACGACACACGTGCACAATTCCTCGCAGTAGTCAAAGCACTACGGCGCGAATTCAACAGGTACGTAACACGTAGTATGTTTACTAGTGATGTTCCTGAACCATACGAAACTCTTAAATGATCCATCCTAAAACGCGGAGATCCAACCGATCGACAAAGGTTAGACCAACTCTTTAACAACATCGACTTGCAACACGGTTCTGCCACAGACATGTTGCAAAGAATGGGAGAAGTTATTGGCCAAAGAACCTTCGATGATGGCCTGTTCAAACACTTTCTCTTATCCAAACTTCCTCAACAGGTGCGAGCTGTGTCGGTCTCGTTTCAAAACAACGCTGTAGACGAGCTGGCTGCATCTGCCAACCGTATCCTCGAAATCACAAAATCTAATATCGGGGTTTTTTCAGGCAAAGAAAAGCCTCAAACGACTTAAACATTATCTTAGATTTCGTAACGACTGTAAACGGTCACACACCCGGCGTAGAAGCACTTCACGTAGGCGATATGTCTCTAGACCTCGAGAGACGGATAACTCTGACTGGTGCTGGCATACGGTAACACACCTTTAAAACTGATAATCACTTCCTGCAAACGCGAATTACGATCAGTATTACCTTTCAAACATCTTTCGACTTTAGCATTTTTATTACGGCCACCCAAAATTGACTAACTATCCTCTAATTCAAAGGCCCAATACTCTAAATCCACTAATCCAATTCATCCTAAGTCCCCGGTTGGTATGCCTAAGCGTCTCAGATTAGCGTTGGTGAGCCTCAGAGAAGTAAGTAAATCAGAGCATCATGTGATACGGTGTCAATACTCCCCAACTGACGCTTCGGGGAATCTATAGAGTTTGAAAAACCATGAGTTTGAAAAAGAACATTCTTATGAGGACCAGAAAACTATGGAAGCAGTTAAAGTGCCCCATAGCTTGTTGGATGGTCATTTCCAGAAGATTTCACCCTTTAAAATTCGGAGACTCTAGTTACAGAACTGCTAAAAAACATCTACGCATGGGTTGGAGCATTTGAAATGAAGGTTTTGATGGAATAAGACTAATATACGGCAGGTAGCTTCTGAGAGCGGTTTGGTAGTACTTGTATGTAATACACTAGTATGTCAGTTTCCTACTGCATTCGAGGTGTTTTATATATCGGTGAATCGTTGACATCTACTGACTGTGCAATTTACGAGATTGAGTGGACCTGAACATACCACTCCACAGCTGGAGTATATCCACGAATTTGTGGTGGAATAGCACGACTAAATAAATTTGTACAACAATTCTAGCTAGCCTTTTTTACTAATCATATTAGTAAGGTTGAGTAGCAATTCGTTCTCCATAATCTCTCAAGGAACAATGTGACGTTTATATTTCTTCAAGTACTAAGGGTTATTACTCTAAGTTGTACTTCATGGTCATCGCGACTAAATAAGCAATCGAAAGCCTACAGACACATCACTAAATAGCCAATAATATTATATCATCTAATTAATCCTGTGATTAGTGTTACTTATTATCTTGTCCTTATGCTTCTCATGGTGTTAAGCGTCAGTTCACCGACAGTGGACACGACATGTTGAGGTGATTGCCTCTATTATCCCTTCCCAGTTGTTCTCTATAGTAGTTCCCTCTCCGTTGAGTAGATCATGAAAGGCCTGGAACTTGTTGCTGATGGCCATCTTGAATTTGTTGAGTTTATCAGTATCGCGAAGAAAAGCCGTATTACACTTTTGCGATATTGTCCGCCCCGTTTTCCAGTGCTTCTTGAGTTTCAATTTTATCTTGGTGACCAGCATGTGATGATCTGATGCAATATCAGCTCCTCTCTTTGTTCTCACGTCCTCCATCGTCCTCCTGAACTTCTTGTTGATGCAGATATGGTCGATTTCGTTTTGTGTGGTGTGATCCGGTGAAGTCCATGTGGTTTTGTGGATGCGTTTATGTGGTAATATAGTCTCGCCTATGACCAGTTTATTGAAGGCACGTAGGTTTGCAAATCTCTCACTATTTTCGTTCTTTCCTCCCAGTCCGTGTCGTCCCATGATCTCTTCACATCCGGTGTTGTCCATTCCAACCCTGGCATTTAAATCTCCCATCACAATGGTCAAATCTTTGTTGAGCACTTCTAGACGATTGACTGCAGCCTATCATAGAATTGATCGTTAATATCTTCATTGTAGTCGTTCATTGTGATACCCACTCTCCCGCACACATATTGAGTTTATCAATCGTAACTTCCATATAAAAAAAAATCTAAAATGACTTTATACACTGTATGTGTTCAGCTCCACTAGAATACTGCCCATTTATATTCCTTAGACCGACAGAAAACTGAGAATCTTCATGTCATAGCACAAGACTTTCCACTCCAAAGCTGTCATATAACGATAGATGGGAAGCATGGAAACTGGGTCCCTAATGGCCGAGACAAACTATACGTAACCTCCCTTCACTTTCTAAAACCATAAATAACTAAACTAGGGCGTATTGTGACACTAAAATTAACCAAATATATTGATTTTAACCTTCGTAATCAGAAGTTTATACTGAAAATATCGATAACCCCAAACAAAGCAAACTCAATAATTTTGTCACACGCCAAGCAAGCCTCTAGAATACGTTACTGGTTAACATACGGTCAACTCAGACGCTTACTCAGTTCAAATCTTCCTAAACTGCTTTAAGGAGATTGGATGAAACTTAGAATTTAAACTCACCGTGATTTATGATATTCGTATGTTCTTTTTAAACATGGAACTAGGGAACCGGTAATTAGACAACCGGTCGTTGGGTCAAAATATTTTAAGTAATATTTTGTGTCGGAAAACAATAACGTTTAAAATAAACAAATAGGGGGACAAATTTAGAGTCGATAGCCATCAGTGTTTTAATGTCTGTAAGTGCGTGACCTACATATTTATACGCGTTTATGCATTTTACGTCTATACTCATCAATGTTTTATATTTCAACAAACATGTTACGTAGGATAATTTAAATACTGATAACCCTTGTTAAGGTCCTAAGACAATCGACCATGATCGCAGTGGGACACATAACCTGACCTCCCAAGTTATCGAAAACCCTCCAGAATCCCACAGTGTGTTTGACGCGACTGTGGTTGCTTCTCCAAGCAACGTTGACGAATGGGTGCAGGTTGCGAGGAAGAAACAAAATAACGATATAAAAGGGGACCCTGCCCCCATAAGATTAGTCGAAAAATCGAAGGCTGATCACAGTGACAGATCAGTTAATTGTCATAGAATCAAGGACAGTTAAAGCTGTGAACCAGAAACTCGTTTTTAGTATGATATTGTTCTGATAAAACAGCTACTTAATCAACTCATGCCTCCAAATATCTCCGGTGTCCCCTTGCTAAAGGTCCATAGACTAGGTAGTCTAGCGAACTTGAAGCCTGATCAATCTAGACTGCTTAAAGTAGTATTCAAATCTTCGAATGAAAGGGACTTAATTTTACAGAATGGACATAAATTAAAGGGTTCAGGAGATTTTATCCGAAAGGACTTGCCGTTGGCAGACCGTGTAAAAAGATGGGAAGCCGAAAAAGAACTACAAATTAGGTTAGACGTTGGCGAAAAGGACCTGAAAATTGTAAATTTTCGGGTTGTGAGGCTTCGTCGGAAAATGATGCCGAGGCCACTCTGGGTGAAGCACGAAACCACTTAAATAGGCTTCGGATCTGTCACACTTATGCCCAAAGCTTGCTCAATAAGCGATCGGAACTAGGTGAACAGATTAACTCTACAAAGCTTGACATAATCGCAGTCACAGATACCTGGCCGACACAGCCTATAGATAATATGGAACTCGATTTCGAGGGTTTTACTTTAGTAAGGACCGACAGAATACATAAGCGTAAAGGAGGGGGAGTGGCTCTATTCAAAAGGAATGCTATCCCATTTGTCATTATTGACAGTTTATACCATGAAAGTGGGACGTGTGGATTGGTTAGTTGCCGCTTGAAATTCAAGGGGCAAGAGCTGCTGATTGGTTTGGTCTACCGCAGTCCAAGCTATGAGGTAAATGATGTCCTGTTAAACAGGCTCAAAAATTGGTCTCAAAGCGGTCGATGTCTAATCCTAAGGGACTTTAATGCACCTATGGTAGACTGGGGAAGTCTGTGAACTGAATCGTCAGATAATTCCTTTGGGCAGGAACATGTGCCCTAGTGCAACATGTG